GCGGGTCCTCATACGATAGGTGGGCGCCGTCGTCGAAATTGAGGTCTCCCCCGATGACGACCAGCCGTTGCTGCGGCGACGCGGAGGCCCAGGCACGATACTTTTTCACTTCACCGGCCAGGCGGCGCCGATCGTGGAGCGTCAGGTCGTAGTTGTGGATGTTTAGCAGCGTGAGGGCGGAAGTATTGCCCGGAGGGCAGCCGCGGGGCGGCTGCGGCGCATCGGCCACGCGGCCGGGACAGCGACCAGCGTGGCAATCTAAGCCGCCATCCTGGGCGTCCAAACGAGTAGTTGACGACGATGATGATGAAGTGGATGATGAGCGTGAGCATGAAGGGGACGCGGGGGACGCGCCGGTCGGTCCCGAGGAACTTGTGGTGGAAGAGCGTGGACTGGAAGATGCCGCAGAATGCCCAGCTGATTGCACAATGCCCGATCCCCCTGCGCACTCGGAGCGCTCAGGTGAGGAGCAGCGTGACCATACCGGCGACTCTGGAGAAGCGTCAGGGGGCGCGGCCGCAGGCTGAGGCCGGCCAGGCTGCATTACTGCGGGTTCGTCAGCATGCGGTGGCGCGGCTGACGACAAACAAGTGTAGGTTGAAGACGCCGGCTGGTCCTCGTTGACCGTGGCCGGGTGTTTCGCGATGTGGAGGGCCGCGACGCGGCCAGGAACGATGACGTCCATCCACATGTGGTCCTCGACGGGGGCCTTGAAGATGCCCATCGGGACCAAGAAAGCCAAGCCGCCAGCACGAGTGCTGTTGGCACAGCCCGAGTAAAAGAATGTGTAACGACAAGGCAGGCTCGAGAGCCAAGCCCTGAGCTGCTCCTCATCGCCGTGGGCCTCCTGGATCATGACTACCGCACCTTTCTGTAGGAATTTCTGCAGCGCAGCTTGCTTGCGCCTCCGTTTACGACGGGAGGAACACAATAGGCTATGTGCATTCCACGTCACCACAGTCAGGGGGCTGCACGCGTCCGCCCAGGGGGCCCAGCACCGGCTAGGACCACGGCACGTCGGAGCCCTGGTCCTGGAAGAGCTTGTGGAACTCCGCGTCAATGAGGTCGCAGTCGATGCCGAGACGTTGCGCCTCGGGGCGCTTCCACTCGATCTTGGAGGGCTCGTCGGGGACGTTCGGGACGATGACCCTGGCGATCGGCATGCGGTCGACTTTGACCTCGCCCTTGCCGCGGTTGGCCCAGAAATTAAGCTGGCCGTAGTTGCGTTCCAAGGTCTGGGCCAAGCGCTTGGACTGGAACTCCATCCGCTGAGTGCGTGGAGAGCGGTCAGGGTTGATGTACAGGAGGCCTGCGGGTCCAGCCACGGTGATAGCGCTGAACTGCCGCCAGCGCCCGTTCGGGAGCTTAAGGGCCTGGGCCAAGGCGAGGGCGCGGGCGTTGCCGACGACGCCGCCGTGTACTTCGACATGGAACCGCCGGGCAGGGCCGGCGCCGTGAAGGGTGATGTGCTCTGGGTGGAGTCCCGCTGCCTGCAGCCAAGCGCTGAGGGCATGCTGCACTGCCTCTGGAGCTGTGTCGTCCTTGGCGTTGATCGTGAAGAAGTTCGGTTCGGGGCTGCGGTTTTCAAACGGAGAGGCGGACGAGGTCCGTGAGGCCCGCGGCACGCTCCGCGATGCGGAGCGTTTCCTCGATTTCGCGGACCTTGCCGGCCAGGACGTCCTGCTGGGCTGCTGTGGCGTCGACCCGTTTGGAGCACTTGTGGACCTCGTCGTGGAGCTCGCCGATCTTGCCGTCCAGCTTGGCGGCGTGCGCAGCGACGAGGCCGGAGATCTTGGTCTGGAAGTCGGTTGTGACGGACCGACAGGCCGTCTCCAGCTGGGTTGCGGTGCTGCCCAGGATGTCCGCCAGGGCAGTCCGCATGTCCTCGGGACAGGAAGCTGGAAGTCGGTCGACGGATTCCTTGATCCTGTCACCGAGGGAGGGCCCGGGTGGCTGGGGTGCTGCACCAGGGGGAGCGCCAGAGGCCGCATCAGGAGGGCCAGCAGCAGGAGCCGCGGCCGGCGCCACACCTTCCGAGCCTGCGGCGCCACGAGGTACTCCTGCAGCAGGTCCGACTTGGGCAGGACCGGGCCCCCCTTGCGCGGCATGGGGGGCTGCGGGGCGACCACCTTTGCCAGCACGTGCTTCAGCCCACGGGTCAGCACGCCCTTGGAGCGGGTCCACTGCCGGCGCGCCGGCATCGCGGCCACCCCGGCCCTCGGCGCCGCGGGGGCGGCGGGCGCATGGCGGCGACGGTGCCGCGGCTGCCGTGGGTTCACTGCCGGAGGACCCATCCAGCTCCTCACTGCGGCTGCGATCCACGTGGCGTCGCTGCCGGTCGTAGTCGGCGGGCGGGCGCTCGCGCTGGCCCGCACGGGTCCGGCCGGGCCGCTTGTCAGCGCCGCGGGGGGGAGCAGCGTCATCCATCGGTGTAAATTGTAAGAAAATCTTGGTTCCGCTCGCGCACGACACGCGAGAGCGCCCACTGCGGCGGGCTGCCCGCTCAATTACCTTGAGCCAAAATGGCTACGGAAGGAGGAGGAGGAGGAGGAGGAGGAGGAGGAGGAGGAGGAGGAGGAGGAGGAGGAGGATCACGAGCGGCGAACATATCCATATCTCCATATCCACGACCTCGCGGCCTGGATCCCGGGGCGCGATCCCGTGTATACGCGGTCGCATGGATACGTTCGGGGCAGCCACGACGAAAACATCCGCATCCGCGGGGTCGCGGCCCAAAGGCCTGGCCCGCGAGGCCGTGGATACGGATAAGTATCTTCCGTCCAGGAGAGGAGGGATGCACGGGGGGGGAGAGCCCCGACATTCTGACGTTGTGCTGTTGTTCCGCCACATGGTTGCCCAGAGGTCTAGACTTAAGTCGTGCCTGTCCCCCTGCAGGGGGATTTTCGACGAAAGAGAAAAAATACCCCCAACAGATTCAACAAATAATCCAAACATGGACTGGGGACTATTTTTGGTGTATTGTTTGACCTTTTGGGGGCATTTTTGGGGCATGTTGTTCCCATCCTACTTCAAGACCGCATCCCAGAAATAATTTCGAGCACCCGGAAGAGTGTCGAAAGAGTGTCGAAGCAGTGTCGAAACAGTGTCGGATGAGTGTCTCCCAGGGCCCGACAGGTGAAAACCCTTAAGTTTCGGTACTTTTTGGGGCGCTCGAAATTCTTCCTGGTGATCAAGGCTAAAGTAGGTTGGAACATCATAAGTCTAGACCCCTTCCTGGGGACTTGGTCTGCGTACGGATTACATGTTCATGGCGGTAGGGCCACTCAGACGCCGAGAATGGCAACAAGATCTCGCCGTTTTTTTTATAGACGCGAAGATGTCAGGGAAGGAGCGATCCCTCAAGGTGGAGCGATCACCCAAACGAACCCCCTGGCGAAACAGGAACGAGCCCCGAACGGCGCCCCCGTGCCTGCACTGGAGCGTGTGCGGGAAACCGATTCATACCTGTACGACCATCCTTCAGGTGCTAAGAAGGTTGGGGGGGGCAAGAACCAAATGAGGACTACTGCGATGATTGTGAAGGTGGCGATGCTGGTGTACTGATGGAAGGTCTATCGATCTCAAGATCGATCTCACTCAACGGATCTCGTTATCGATCGCACAGTCGATCTCACAATCGACCTCACTATCAATATTATGATCGATCTTACTATCGATCTTACTCGGCCGACCTTTTTTTCATCGATGTCACATTCGATCTCTGAAACGATCTCTATCGATCTCACAGTAGAGCTCACGATCGATGCCGCTATAGCCCTGTCGATCTCGCAATCGATCTCACTATCGATTGCACTATCGATTGCACTATCGATGCAACTATCGATCTCACTACCGATCTCACTTCCGCTCCAACGATGGATGCAACTGCCGATCTCACGATCGACCTCACCATCGATCCAACCATCGATCTCACGACCGATCTCACCACATCTTGGTCGTTACCGATCTCACTGCCGAACCCACTGTGGATCGGGACGCCATGGGGACACCACGGCGAGACACCGCGGGACACTGCGGGGCACCACTGGACACAACAGGACACCGCGGGACACCACCGGGACACCGTGGGAAACCATGGGACACCATCGGGACACCGCGGCGGGACACCGCGGGACACCCTTGGGACAAGGCACCACGGCGGGACAAACACAACCACCGCGGGCCAACTGGAGGGCCGGACTTTTGCATCCGAATCGCCCTAGCGACGGCGGGATGATCCCCCTCGCGAGCCCACGCGGCTTCGCCTCGCCCGCGCGCGCGACGCGAGCACGAAACCTGGGCCGATTTCCCGTTTGGGGGCTCTCCGCTCCGCTGCGATCTCACCCCCTCACCTCCGATATGTGCGTCGTCTCCCCAGGGGCGACGCGCGCACCGAGAAATCTTGTAGTACATGCGTCGCGGCGGGCGCTTTCTGGCCACGCCGCTCGGGAAAGAATCTACTACAAGATGGGTATACTGTATGTTCGGGTCGGACGCGCGCTTCCAAGGAGAACATATAGTACTAGTGTGTCTCTGTGCCCCCGGTCCAGGGCCAGGCCGAGGCCCTGGGCCGCGGTCCCGCGGATCGGGGGTGTTCTTCCGGGGAGTGCCGCATGCGGAACGTACCCGGGATCCAGACCGCGAGGGCGTGGGTATGGCTGTGCTCACCGCGCGTGATCCTCCCCCTCCTCCTCCTCCTCCGCCTCCTCCTCCTCCTCCTCATCATCATCATCATCAACATCATCATCCTCCCTTTCTTCCCTGCTCCTCGTTCTCCTCCTCCTCCTCCTCCTCCTCCTACTACTCCTGCTCCTCCTCCTCCTCCTCCTCCTCCTCCCTCCTGATCATCATCTACATCATCATCCTCCCTTCCTCCCTGCTCCTCGTTCTCCTTCTCCTCCTCCTCCTCCTCCTCCTCCTCCTCCTCCTCCTCCTCCTCCTCCTCCTCCTCCCTCTCCTCCTCCTCGCCGCTCGTGATGGGCCCAGCCCGCCCTCCCCGCCTGCTCGCTGCAGCAGCGCCGCCGCCGTAAGCCCCGCCGGCCCCGCGCCCGCCACGGCGGCCCTGCGGAGGGCACCTGGGCGCGCCGGCGGGAAGGTGGCGCGGCCGACGAGAAGCCGCGGGCCCTTTAGGCGACGCCAGGGCGATAATCGCATCGGATCGGGTGTTGCTAGAATGAAGGGGCCCTGGGACACACAAATAAATCCACACCAATAAAATGATTCCACATATTTCTCCATATTTTCTGGGTTTATGTCTTCCCCCCACTTCCCATATTTTCCAATATTTTCCTGGGAGTCGGCGATTAATTGTGTCTGTGTGTGTTTTTCCCCTCCTGATAGAAGTGCCCCTGGCCCAAGGTGCCCCCCACCTTTTCGCACCGCTTTGGAGCCACCAGGGCCGTCTGGGCCAGGGGTACTTCTAGCAACACCCGATCGGATGAAAACAAATCGAGGACCTCTGAGGTTGGCAACTCGCCGGGAACGGACAACAGCGCCCGCAAACCTCGAACCTCGAAGCATCTGACGTCCGAAAACCTCGAAAGCATCCCCACTCTCTGAGCAGGTCCCCTTAATTCCGTTGCCCCTGAGAAATCGAGAATCTCTGACATCAGTCGGCTCTGGAAGATGCCTCGGGCGCCGCAGCCTTCCCAGAGCGTTCTGGAACGCTCTGGGCGGATTCATCCCCGCCCTCGCCCCGTCCGAGCCTTGCGCACTATGACCCAGCGATCTTACGCCGCGACTTACGCGGGCCGCCAGCGCGGCGCGCTGCATTGGCAACGAGGGCGCTAACGCGCGACCTTGCGCGGGCAGCTTGCTCGCGAATGACGGCGCCACCGGCCCCGCTTGCCTCCGCCGTTCGGGCGGGCTGAGGGAGGCCCGCCTCAAGCGAGCCGTTCGCGGTCGAGCTTCTGGCCGAGCTTCCGACGCGGGAGGCCCGGGCCTCGCCAGATGAGACTGACCCCAGAAGAGCACCGACGCTGTTTTTTTGCTCTTCGTCCATGCATCCCCTGCATGCCGCTCTGCAGGCTCCGAGTGTAGTAACCGTTGGCACTTTAGGATTTCTTCGGGCATGCAGCGCCGCCGACCTGCGTGCCCTTGCTCGCGTCCATGGGCTGCCCACAGCCTACGACTCCGACCGACCGACCAGAAGAGCACCCACGTAGCAGCAGAGGTGAAGGGGCGGGTCAAAGAGCAGGAGGTCGAGACACGGCCATCTGCACCTCGGTGCGCTTTTTCACCAGGGATCGTGGCCGTGCTGGGCAGAGGGACTTCGTCACGTGATGCGAAGTTTCCCCCCCCCCCCTCCCCACCGAAGCCCCCTCCTCTTCCTCCTCGTGATATCCTCCTCCGCCACCTCCTCCTCCTCCTCCTCCTCCGATTCGCATCACGTGTCGGATCCAAGTCGCCGACGTGCGGGCCAAAGATGCAGTCAGCATGGAGGCGAGAGCACGATCCCCGAACCGAGCGTCAGGAAGCCCCAGGCGAAACGGCCGCCGGGCATGGGCGGTCTGGGGCTTCCTGCCCCCAGTGTGTGACGCTTCAATGGTCATCTCTCCACGGTTGGACAGCCTCCTGGCGCAATGCGAGCTCGGAACAAAGATGATACCAGCACAGCGGATTCGGCTGAGACTCGCGGGAGGTGACACCTGTGAGAAAAGCCGCAGCAATGCAGAACTTGTCGAACAAGTTCCCTCCCGGTAGCCCTGAATTCGACTGAATAGCAGGGAAGAGGCGAAAGGACAAGAGACGCATGCAAGAGGGAAGGAGGAGACTGAGGAGGAGGAGGAGGAGGAGGAGGAGGAGGAGGAGGAGGAAGAGTAGGAGGAGGAGGAGGAGGAGGAGGAGGAGGAGGAGGAGAAGGAGGAGGAGGAGGAGGAGAAGTGGAAAAAGAGGAGGAGAAGGAGGAGGAGGAGAAGGAGGAGTAGGAAAGGAGGAGGAGGAGGATCTGAGGGAGGAGGAGAAGGAGGGAGGGAGGGAGGGGGAGGAGGAGGAGAGGTGGAGGATTAGAGGCGAAAAGAGGAGGAGGAGGAGGAGGAGAGGACGAGGAGAAGGAGGAGGAGGAGGAGGAGGAGGAGGGGAGGCGGAGGAGAAGGGAGTCAGAGGAAGTGGACGAGGGAGGAAATGAGGATGGGCGAGGGAGGAGGTGAGGAGGAGGAGGAGGAGGAGGAGGAGGAGGAGGAGGGGGAGGAAAAAAAAGAAGGGGGTTCTCCCGGAGAAAGAGGGCGGTGAGAGGAGGGGGGCGGAAGAGGACTGCAGGAGAGGAGGAAAGGAAGAGACTGCAGGAGGAGGAGGGCAGGAAGGAGGAGGAGGAGGAGGAGGGAGGGGAGGAGGAGGAGGTGGAGGAGGAAGGAGGAGGAGGCGGAGTGAGAGAGGGGGGAAGGGGAGGAGGGGGAGGGAGGGAGGAGTGAGGAGGAGGAGGAGGAGGAGGAGGAGAAGGAGGAGGAGGAGGCGAAGGAGGAGGAGGAGGAGGAGGAGGGCGGAGCAGGAGCAGGAGGAGGAGGGAGGAGGAGGAGGAGGAGGAGGAGGAGGAGGAGGAGGAGGAGGAGGAAGCAGGAGGAGGAGGAGGAGGAGGAGGAGGAGGAGGGGGTGGAAGGAGGAGGGGAGGAGGAGGAGGCGGAGGAGGAGGAGGGAGGAGGAGGAGGAGGAGGAGGGGGAGGAGGAGCCCTCACGCGCCCCGGAGCCCACCGAACGTCAAGTCGCTTGGAGCCCCCTGACCCCGGAGGCGCAGGGTACGGGGATGGAGGAGGAGGAGGAAGAGGAGGAGGAGCGGGAGGAGGAGGGGCAGGGATAAGGAGGAGGAGGAGGAGGAGGAGGAGGAGGAGGAGGAGGAGAAGGAGGAGGAACGAGGAGGAAGGAGGATGAGGTGGCGGACACTGATGAGGAGGAGGAGGAGGAGGAGGAGGAGGAGGGGAGGAGGAGGAGGAGAGGAGGAGGAGGAGGAGGGGAGGAGGAGGAGAGGAGGAGTGGAGGCAGGAGGAGGAGGAGGGGAGGAGGAGGAGGCGGGAGGAGGGAAGGAAAAGAAGGGGGTTCTCCTGGAGAAAAGACGGGCGGAGGGTGAGGGAGGCGGAGGAGGATGCAGGAGGAGGAGGAGGAGGAGAAGGAGGAAGGAGGAGGAGAAGGAGGAGGAGGACGAGGAGGAGGGAGGGAGGAGGAGGTGGAGGAGGAGGAGGGGAGGAGGAGGAGGAGGAGCAGGGATGCGGGAGGAGGAGGAGAGGAGGAGGAGAGGAAGAGTGAGAGAGGGCGGAGGGAGGAGGAGGGGAAGAGGAGGTGGAGGAGGAGGAGGATGGGCAGGAGGAGGAGGAGGAGGAGGCGGAGGAGGAGGAGGAGGAGGGGCCGAGGAATGGCGGATGGCGGATGGCGGAGTAGGAGGAGGAGGAGGAGGAGGGGAGAGGAGGAGGTGGAGGAGGAGGAGGAGGATGATGAGAGGTGGGAGGGAGGAGGTAGGAGGAGGAGGGGAGGAGGAGGAGGATGAGGAGGGGGAGGAGGAGCCCTCACGCGCCCTCCTGCTCGGGCCCCCAGGGTTTTTGGAGCCCACCGAACGTCAAAACGCTTGGAGTCCCCTGACCCCGGGGGAGGATGAGAAAGAGGATGAGGAGGACGAGGATGAGGAGGCACTTCCCCCCCCCTGGACGGTTTCCCCCGGGGCCGTAGGCGACACGAGGAGGGGAGGGCGAGGAGGGGGAGGAGGAGGAGGAGGAGGAGGAGGAGGAGGAGGAGGAGGAGGAGGAGGAGGAAGAAGGGGGGTTCTCCTGGAGAAAGAAGGGAGGGGAGAAGAGGGGAGGAGGGGAGGGAGGCGGAGCAGGACTGCAGGAGGAGGAGGAGGAGGAGGAGGAGGAGGAGGAGGAGGGAACGCTCCAAGGGGGGGCCGCGTGTCATCCCGCCTCGCCGTGCGGCTGCAGGAGGGCGCGGACGCTGCTGTCCGTCTTCGCCACTGCCCTGCACCTGGCCTCCATTAGGGAAAAGGTTTGGGGGGCCGAAATCCGATCCCGCGCGCGCAGGGCATTGAAGGAGGTGAGAAGGAGGTCAGAAGAGAGTCCTAGAGCATGCAACTGCCGACGACTATCGAAACAGACTTTGTGCAACAGGAGACGATGCAGGGGGGGAATATCAGAAAAACAGGCTGGCAGGCTAGGAACTAGCTGCTTAGGGCATTCACGGCTACAGGACAAGCATAATAGTGAAGAACAGAATCGCCTCCAACCGCCATACATCCAAATCTGCAATTTCCCGTCCCTCCCCCATTGTGCCTGAACCTGCGGGTAGTACACCACCCGTTACAGATACTTCTGAGCTGAGCAGTCGTGATGAAGAAGGGCAAGTCACGAGCGAGGGTACTGATATTCAAGAACATCCGATCGGCATCTGCAATGGTGGCTGAGGGGTCGAAGTGCTGGAGGGGTAATAACTGGGGCATCGAGGGAATCTGCGACCGCGAGTATAATAGCTTGTAGACTTTCCGCTGCAAGTTAGATTCTACATGGTCGTATGGGCACCTGTGTACGACCTCTAACTCTTCTTGGACTTTCGAGAGATGCATGAAGATAGACTGATTTACCCAGGCCCGGTACTTCGGAGCCAGAACGCGCTCATCATCGGCCTCGGCTTCCTCCCATGCCAAGCGCTCCAGGTAAACCTGTGGACTGCGAACTGCCAATCTGTAAGCAGCAGCTCGACATTCAAGCTCGAGGTGTCGCGGCTCAACCGGCGCACCAATCTCCTTTAAATGCTGCAGCACGAGCGGCGGGAACGCGTGCCTCGGGCCGTTCGTGAGAGACTGGAGACCTTCGCGGACTGTCCTGAGGGCCTCTTGAGGCGGGGGCAGGAACTGGCCGACGAAACTCAATACGGAGAAACAAACCATGTTGTAGGCCGATAGGCTTGCCAGAAGCCCCAATTTCAAGCTCTTGACGTGGTAGATCCTCTTCCGAAATTCAGCAATCGGGTGGGCCCACGAGGCCTCTGCGCTGTTGAAACCAAGGAACAGCCCCAGGTACCTAGCAGCGGCAACTATCTTGAAATCCTCCTCCTCCACTCCAGCAGCATTCATTTTTTCCAGAACCTGGGCTTTGGTGAGGTCGGCGTAGATAATGATGTAGGTTTTGTGGGTGTTGACTTTCAAACCTGCCGCTTGGAGGACGAGGGCGAATTCCTTCATCACTACAGGGAAGCACTGGAAGAAGTGGCGCGCGGCTAATCCAAGATCATCTGCAAAAACTCCGAGCCGAACCTGAAATCCAGAAAGCTCAAACTTCATTTTGCGAATGATCGGGTCGAAGCATAACGCCCAAATCAGCCCAGAAAGCGGACAACCTTGCTTAACCCCCCGAGCACAGCGAATCATGAACTCCTGGACGCCTCTGAACGACACGATCATCGAGATGTCCCGATAGAGCTCTTGGATTGCCCAAACAATCGCTGGTGGAAGAGCCATCTCGCGCAGCACGGCAAAGATAAACGAGTGGGCCAGCGAGGGGAAGGCGCTGGCGACATCGAAGAAGGCGTGGCCGCCTTCCTTCTCGCCGTATATTGAAACCCAGCGGAGCATGACTGCTTCAAGCTCAATAATGTTCTCGGCTAATTGGCGCCCGCCTACAAAGCCTCTCTGACTGTGGTCGACCGTGACCGACGCAATCGGGGCAAGGTACCAGCCTATCATTTTACTTAATATTTTGTTGTCGGTGTTGCTGAGGGCTATTGGTCGAGTGACGGACGGCTGGCGAGTGATCACGTACTGGTCCTCGCGCTCAGTCCCTTTCGGCAGGAAGACGCTGAGGGCAAGGTTAAACTGGTCAGGTAGCCTAGCACCTGCAAGCAGCGCCTCATACAGCTCGTAGAGTGCCTCATGAAAGATCCTTCCCCCACAGAACCAGACAGAGTAGGGAAGCCCGTCGGGGCCCATTGCGGAGTCCTTGAGCTTTTCCAAAAGATGAATATACTCATGATACGGCATCTTAACCACAGGATTCGGGATGGTTTTCTGAACAAAGGGTAAATAAGCTCGAACGGCCTCAGGAAGAACTTCTACCTCATCAAAGACTTGCTGCCAGTGATCGCGGAGCGCTCGGGCACCTTCTCGGGGGTCAACAATGGGGAGCCCACGAGGATCACGAATCTGTGCCAGGCCAACCTTACGATGTTTGGGGGACCACCCAGCCTGCCGTTTGCGTAATGCCTCAGCTCGAGCCTGCTTCTTGCTAGGGGCCTCGTCGCTGGCAAGGTTTTCACCCTGCATCGCATCCACGTGCTCCGAGTTCAGCTGGTTCATCAGCTGGTGAAACTTATCAAAGTCGATATACTGGGCTGCATCAATGTCTACAAACTCGAGCAGCTCTGGGAAGCCACGGCAAGCTTTGCGCAAGACTCGACGGTCGCCTCTCGTAATGGCCCTCTGAGTTGCCAGCATCCAGGAGATTTTTTGAATGGGTAACACTGGGACCGCCTCCGCCAACTCGTCCAGGACAGCCTGCTTGGCCGCAAATGCCAGGGACTTGATTTCAGGAAGCCTCAAGATCGGGTCATCGGACAAGTCGACCTCAGCCCGAATGCTCTCGACGTAGTCCTGAAACCGTGGGTGCTTGGCAATCCAGGAGGGTACCCCATGTCGAGCGGTGGCGTTCGGCGTCAGCCCAACAAAGACAGGGATATGATCGCTACAGTTCGAGGCCCCAAATACACTCCCATGTACGCCAGAGGTGGGGTGGAGGTCGAGTAGGGTGGAGGTGTACAGGTTCAGATAGATACGATCGAGTCGACCAACCGATTCGGGACATCCATCTCGATTGCGAATGTGAGTGGGCCACTCTTGCTCTACCTCAACCAAGTGCGGCAGCTTGGAGCAGAAAAAATCATCCAATCGATAGTTGTTAGACGCATTCCCTGCCGCCCTCCTCCCATCCAAATACTGCCGGGTCTCGCCAGCTGCATAAAAGTTGAAATCGCCTCCGAAGACCGCGACGGCTTCGCGCGGGGGCTTCAATACACGAGCAGCACACGCAATTACCTCCCTTTTCCGAGCAACCGTCAACTCAGGATCGAGGTGAATATTCAATATCTGAAAGCACCCTTTCCTCCCAGACAGCATGATCGAGTGAAGACGCCCCGCCTGATGAACTCGGGGTCGCACAAATTGAAAATGACGCAAAAAGGACTTCTGAACGATAATAGCACAGCCGCCAGCCTGAGGGTTGGAGCAGTAGGTGGTAAACGAGCGATGTTGAGGGAGAAGGCGCCGAAGGGTCTCATCATCACCATGGGTCCCGTGAGTTTCCTGCAGGAGCAAAACGGTATGTCTTTCCTGAGGTTGGCAACTCGCCGGGAACCGACAACAGCGCCCGCAAACCTCGAACCTCGAAGCATCTGACGTCCGAAAACCTCGAAAGCATCCCCACTCTCTGAGCAGGTCCCCTTAATTCCGTTGCCCCTGAGAAATCGAGAATCTCTGACATCAGTCGGCTCTGGAAGATGCCTCGGGCGCCGCAGCCTTCCCAGAGCGTTCTGGAACGCTCTGGGCGGATTTATCCCCGCCCTCGCCCCGTCCGAGCCTTGCGCACTATGACCCAGCGATCTTACGCCGCGACTTACGCGGGCCGCCAGCGCGGCGCGCTGCATTGGCAACGAGGGCGCTAACGCGCGACCTTGCGCGGGCAGCTTGCTCGCGAATGACGGCGCCACCGGCCCCGCTTGCCTCCGCCGTTCGGGCGGGCTGAGGGAGGCCCGCCTCAAGCGAGCCGTTCGCGGTCGAGCTTCTGGCCGAGCTTCCGACGCGGGAGGCCCGGGCCTCGCCAGATGAGACTGACCCCAGAAGAGCACCGACGCTGTTTTTTTGCTCTTCGTCCATGCATCCCCTGCATGCCGCTCTGCAGGCTCCGAGTGTAGTAACCGTTGGCACTTTAGGATTTCTTCGGGCATGCAGCGCCGCCGACCTGCGTGCCCTTGCTCGCGTCCATGGGCTGCCCACAGCCTACGACTCCGACCGACCGACCAGAAGAGCACCCACGTAGCAGCAGAGGTGAAGGGGCGGGTCAAAGAGCAGGAGGTCGAGACACGGCCATCTGCACCTCGGTGCGCTTTTTCACCAGGGATCGTGGCCGTGCTGGGCAGAGGGACTTCGTCACGTGATGCGAAGTTTCCCCCCCCCCCTCCCCACCGAAGCCCCCTCCTCTTCCTCCTCGTGATATCCTCCTCCGCCACCTCCTCCTCCTC